AGTCGCTGTTATCGACGACGCCCAACACGCAACGGAAATTAGCTCCCAGCGCTCCTTCCACTCGCCTCCCACGACGCCTGAAAAGAACAGAAAGTGGCCGGGCAAGGAGCGTGGGACACTCTAAGGACATTTGCAATGGCGTGGGTCGCACAATTTCCCTCGCAGCCTTGACGTTGCTTTGAGTTTCACGCTGGTGGTGGGCTGCTGAAACACAGCTGCTATTCGTTGCTTTTATGACGATTTGGCCCATTGTATCTTTCATCCGATGATGGCAGAAAAACGCTCGGGACATTTACCCTTCCAGGTATGCCTTAGGTTAAACGCTCAGCGCAGATAGCTTCTGTAGATGACCGTTGAGTGATTGCGAGTGGAATACTGTGTGAACACAATTCTGTTTCTAGTAAAGGTAATTCAGAGACATGAAAAAGCTCTGAAACTCTCTTAAATGTATTTTCCAAGAGCGAGCAGCGCACTTTCATTTTGAAATTCAACTGAGGAGAGACTTAAAACCGATATTTGGGAACGTAGCCTAGCACTCAACACATCTCGAGAAACTCAGATATTGCCGTTTCTACGGTTCGTCTCCGTCGGCAACCCTGCATAGTAAAGTATCACAATCTCTATTACCGCACGCCAAGGAACAGTGCACGGCCATGATCCAAAGTATGAAACGCTATTCAATACCATATGATTTAAGTGCCGCTGTTTCGTGCTTGCCTCCCACACCGCACACACGCCACGCATCGCACACGCTGAGGCAAAAAAAAAATTGCCGAAGTACAGAAAGGAGCAGATTCCCAGCAAAGGGAGTTTGCACCAAACGAACCAAAAGAATATTCCACAATCTTCCACGGTTTCAGCGAAAAAACGTGTGCATGCTTCAGTCCGATGTTAGGTCAGGCGCCATCGAACTGCTTCGTAACGGTCATAGCTTCCACTGGGTGCTCGCCGGTGATGAATGCCAGAAATTGTGCAAGGCAGTGCAAAAAATGACTCGGGGAACCATCACTGGGCCTGATTTGGATTCTTTCTAGGATTTGGGGTGGCCCTGCTCCATCATTTTTACAGAAATTTCACCAGACCACCCCATGGCTAAACAGGGCAGGTTACATAATCCTGGACCCACTAACTTCGTCGAGGAGCTCCGGCCCAACGGAAAAAGCCCTAGAAACCGTCCTGAAGGCCCGGGAGAAACATGCTGACCCCGGTCTCTGGCTGCACTTGGTACTAGTCCCAGAGCGAGCGCAGTGTGTGGCCCGCCTGACATAGGAAGGTCAGCTGGCAGCAGATCACCGAGCATCAGACTAGGCTGCAGGGTCCGCGTCGCAGCAATCTGCGGCTCTAAAACTCTTCTCGTCCGTCGAAAGAGCGGAGGCCAAATTATCTGGTAAGCCGTGTTTTGTGCGCGATGTTGTACGCTGCGGTAACACGCTGCGCAAGGCTAGATCCCTCCCCCCCCCCCCCCCTCCTTGCTCTGCTCTGTTATCGTTGCGTGTAGGCAGGTTTGGAGTGGTTTTGTGAAAGTTGGTTTATATTTCCTTTGTAATCTGGTTAAAAGTGGGTTGGTATTGTTGCGGAGATGACCAAGAACACTCGTGTGTTGTACAAAGCCCAGACACTGTTACGAGTCCATAACTTGTTCATATTTTAACACACGCTCGGGTGGGGGTCAAAATTACCCCCCGAAGGTTTTTTCCGGAATGGTTTCCGAACGACGCGGCACAGCCGCGACAAATTTTGCATAGCTGTAGACGATTGAATAGCGGATCGTCTGGCAGTAAAATTTGAGATCGTTGTAACGTCGTTGACCTATGGCAGGCCGGGCCATGGTTTCAGCGAAGGCAGTTTCTAGGGAATCGTTCAGTCTGGTCGAACAACGGAGTGTTACACGAAGCCATGCATCTCTGAGTTGCTTTCTTAGGCAACACATTGATTGAATGACCAAATTCCATTGACCTAAGGTCGGACATGAAGGTCAGACCAAGGTCAAAACCATACCTGTTGTATTACTCTAGCGCTTGCTGTATGGGGTAGGTTCTGGTGCTTCTTTCGAATTTATTGATAACAAGAAAGGGATTATACACCTTCCATTGACTTCTTAAATGTGAGAATAGGCTGCTGACTTAAAATGACCCAGGTCAACATTTGGTTTTAGGAACATGCTATCTAACATAATATTTGCCGCTTAGTCAAACGCAAAACTCAAAGCAGTATTGTATTATTTTGGTCACTCTGACCTTCAAAAGGTCAAACAAGGTTACTGACCTTGAATGAGCATGTGATATTTTGCTTAAAAACGGTTAGCTAGGTGCTGGGGGCACGTTGGAGACCAACCTAGAACTGGACCTTTTTTATCTTTTGTGACCCGAAAGCCATGACCTAGGAACCTGAAAGTTTGACCCTGGTGTCTCTAGCTTTCTCAGTTCCCGAGATCTCGGGGGTCAAATTGACCCCCCCCCCCCCCAAGCGAATGGTATCTAGCCGGCCACCCGGGCGCGTATTAAGCATGGAACAAAAGTATAGTCATTAACAACGCTAGTTTCCTGTTCGTGAGATACGGAGTCGCCCGGTTTTGAACCGTCGCGGGGAGTGTACCCTAGGCCCGCCTCTGAGGTTGACCTCAGCCGCTGGCCGACTCTGGAGGTTGACCGGGTGGCCCGCTTGGGGCTTCGGTCGCGCTGATTGGTTCGGGAAAGGGCGGTTGAGCAGGGGATGGTCCTTGATTGGTTAAGGGGCGGGGCTGGGTCGGGGGATGGTCCTTGATGTGTTGGGAAGACGGACAGGTTGGTGCTGGTTCTTTGGTGGCCAAGAGGGCAGCAGGCCCGGGATGGTCCTTGATTGGTAAGGAGGGGGCGGCAGACCCGGGGATTGTCCTTGATTGTAAGAGGAGCGGCAGACCCGGGGATGGTCCTGATTGTTAAGGGGGTCAGACCCGGGGGATGTCCTTGATTGGGATTAGGAGGGCGGCAGACCCGGGGGGATGGTCCTTGATTGGTAAGGGGGGGCGGCAGACCCCGGGGATGGTCCTTGATTGGTAAGGAGGGCGGGCAGACCCGGGGATGGTCCTTGATTGGTAAGGAGGCGGCAGACCCGGATGGGTCCTTGATGGGTACGGGGCCCCGGATGTCCTTGATTGGTAGAGGGGCCTGCAGACCCGGGATGGTCCTTGATTGGTAGGCGGGGCGGCAGACCCGGGGATGGTCCTTGATTGTGTAAGGAGGGCGGCAGACCCGGGGATGGTTCCTTGATTGGTAATGGAAGGGGCGGGGCAGACCCCGGGATGGTCCTTGATTGGTAAGGAGGGGCGGCAGACCCCGGGGATGGTCCTTGATTGGTAAGGGGGCGGGCAGACCCGGGGATGGTCCGTGATTGGTAATGGAGGGCTGCAGACCCTGGGATGGTCCTTGATTGGTAAGGGGGCGGCAAGGTACCCGGGGATGGTCCTTGATTGGTTGGAAAAAGGAGGGCGGCAGACCCGGGAATGGTCCTTGATTGGTGAGAGGGGCGGCAGACCCGGGAATGGTCCTTGATTTGTAAGGAGAGCGGCCGTGCCAGGGGTGGTTCTTGAGATGTTTTGTTAGTTTATGGCCTCCACCGGTTGGGGCCGCGGCGCTGATATCATTGAGCGGTTTGACATAGAGGGGTGCGTGCATGTGCATACATCAAGTGGAGGGGGGGGGGGGGGGACGCCCTGTGAACGTGGGCTTTTTGGAGCTCTGCACAGGAAAACGGTTCAGGAATATTTTGAAGGAGTGGATCTAGGCAGGTTCCTTTCTTTCTTTCACGAATGTACCACTTTATGCGTTTGAATACCTTTTCGCTCGTTTTCTGCATTGCACAGTTTTTCACATTTTCTGAAGTTGACTATAAAATAGCTTTTTATGGCGAATTTAAAATACTTTCACATAACATTAATGGCCTTTGAGGCCCACCCTTTCCAGACGCCCTAACTAGACGAGATATATTAGCATGGCCAAAGCATAAAAAGGTAAAATAATCTCCCCTTCAGGGAACACACTTTTCAGAACCAGGTTCGTCGAGGTGGTTGAGTCAGTGAGGCGGCATTGGGCACTTGCGAGTGCGATTACTTTGGAGTGTAATTTTCAAATATTTTTGAAAGATGCGGGAGCATTCCCTGAATTCAGGAATGGCGCATGCGTAAACACTATCACTGATGCCGAGCGTAGTCATGGAGCTATCTTCGGGCACAAGGCGCAAGCGCATGCTGTAGGCGTTTGGAGGTTGCAGGTTTCTGGATGCTGCAGGCGCCTAGATTCCGCAGGCGTCTGAAGGCTGCAGGCGCCCGGAGGCTGCAGGCGTTGGAGACAGCAGTAGTCTGGATACTGTGCGCGCAGCCACAAGCACATATTTGCGTTGGGGAACAATTTATTTGGCATAATTGCCATTAGCCTTTATCATCAGCAGCCATCCGTCTACAGTAATCAAAATTTTACCTCATATGTCTTTACATACCTCAAGATTGAAGACAACATGCGTGCAGGATCAAATATCGGGAGTTGAAAACCACTTCAGAGAAAAGTTTGTTAAAGAACTTGTTCGGTACACCTGAACATCGCTGCCAGAGCAGTCAACGTCCCGATGGCTCTCAACTTAGGAGATGGTTTTTAAGTCTGCAGTTTGCATAGCAGCGGAATGCCTCAGGGCATTCAGCCAGATTTTGAACCTGGTAACCACTGCCTTTCAGGGCAGCCGTGTAAAACCGTCCCTGCCTCTGATGGTGCGTGTGCCGTATTTGGCATTATTATAGCAAGCAAATACCAAATATCATTACTTGAAACTGGTTTAATTTGCGGAGGAAAGGATGGAGGGATGGAGGTACTTATTTGACTGCAACGCGTCTTAATTTGTAAGAACTGTACGCCACGATTGTGAGCTCGAGACAGAAGGACATTGCTAATTGTATATCACTCAGACTTGCTATTGGCGTGATCCATACTGACCACAATATAACTGACAAAACACTTGCTATTTTGTTACAGGACAGCGGCGGCATGGTGTCGGACAACGAACTCAAAGGTATGGCGAGCTCAGGTCATGGCCTGTGATCCCAGTATGACATGGCCGGTTGTTCAAAGATGGCCCGGTAAACAGGGCCTGTTATACGCTGGGTCTGGTCATCAGGGGCTCTTATACGCTGGGTCGGGTCATGTTCGTGCTTATGTCAGGTCATGCTCTCCAGCTTTTGTTCGCTGGGCCGGGTCATCAGGGCTGCTTATGCGCTGGGTCGGGTCATCATGGTCTCTTGTTTGCTGGGCCGGGTCATCAGGGCTGCTTACACGCTGGGTCGGGTCGTCGGGGCCTCTTGTTGGCTGGGTAGGGTGCTCAGGGCCTCTTTAGCGCTGGATAGAGTCGTTAGGACCTCTTAAACGCGGCCGGGGCACGCTTTGACATACCGTTAGAATGTACGTATGTGTGATCACTGGTATCATAGCACCCATCAGCATCCATAAGAAGCATCATTCACCAATGATGGGTGCTCCTGAGGACATATTTTTGCTTGGGTAATGCTCCAATTGCGTTGAATGACAAAATTAAGCAAAAGCTACGTCCACTTACCCTCGCACTACGAAAGTGTGGGAGTTCTCTGAAATGTTCCCCAAGTTTTTTCCAGAGTAATTTCTGAACGGCCTTTGCGCGCGGTGCTGAAATTTTAGCCGTGTTCTCTAAACTAATTTTTACACATTTTAGACAATTGTGAGAGTTCTGAACCTCATGGTTCATGGCCTATAACCTAGTTGTTCAGGTCATGCGGGTGGCATTTGGCTAAAAATGGCCTAACGCTTCTCACAGGACATGCACTCTACAGACGTTTTCTGGAAGCAATTTTCTGATCTTGCAACTCTGAAGGTCATTACCATCGTTCTGGTGGCTCGCAAGGTCATGTCTTCTCAGGTCAACATTGGTCAAGCTGACCATTATGGCCAGATTTGACCGTCGATGGTCACGCAGTTTAAGCTCCGACCCTTGTTCTGATTCACCTTTTTTCATAACGCGGACTGATAGGGAAAGCGTCGATGTGCACGTAGAGAATCCACTTCCTCTCAGCCTGTTGCAAGAAATGACGACCTAGAATCGTCCTTGTTTCTGACCGCGTGATGACCGGCGACGACAGAACTGAAGATGGTGTTCCGACTAACGGACAAGAACGGCGACGGCAGCATCACCGCCGACGAGCTGAAGCGGATGCTGCAGGACAAACTGGACATCGACGTCGATGATGCCCTCATCGGAGACCTCATGACGTCAGCGGGCGAGAACGGTGAGGGCTGGCACTGACCGGGGCAGCAGCATCACGCTAAGGGTCAAACGTCTTACCATGGGTTCAGTACCAAAGTATGAAGGAAAAGGATGGATCTGAGGACCATCTCAGAACTATGGAGTGAAAGACAGAAATCTGTGTAGGGGATGTCTCAGGACTATGGAATGAAGGGGGCAGATGTGATTTTGAAAAAAATCACATCTCGACTGCCTTAAAAAAAGCTGTGTGAGGAAGTGCCATCTGTCAAAAGTGTCATGAGAAGAAGTTGTCATAAGAAAAAAGTTGTGCTGCATTCTGACGAGAGAGGGGGGGGGGGGGGAAATTCCCATGCGGGGTCCTGGCCGCGCGCATGCAGAGAAGCCCATTCCGAGAGCACCTCACACATCATTAACGTGTCCACAGAGGAACACGAGCGAATCTTCCTTGTTCTCAGGCCCCATAACTAACACCCGCCCTTTCTAGAAGAGCCGTGCACCCGCGTCGCATCTGCCCGCGGTCGCCGGGATAGGTTCGTAAAATGGACTCATCCAAGCGATCATGACGTCATCGGTTGAGCCGCACAGCCAATAAGTGAGCTTTCACAGCTTCCTGGTGCTGAAAAAAATAATGACGCGTGCTGCACACTGCTGCTATATCGAGATGAGGCTGATTATGTTTCTCTCCCAGCCCGTGATGCTGTCAGGGCGGATATTTTATATAATTGGAAGGCAAAAGTAATTTCCGGGGCTGCGCGGCCAACAGCGGCGAAGGCTGGCCAAAGTTTAATTACGTCCCAACTAGACAACACAAAAGTGCGTCGCAGTAAACCGATCTTCAAAGAGCTGGCAAATGGTGCTGTTTTTGATGCGGCCTTACCGATTACCGACTTATCGATGTAGTGCCGATACGTCGACTCTTTTCTGTGACGAGAAGCCAAACTCGCAAGGCGTTCCGGTCAAAATTCTCGCGCACGGCGCGCCGTGAATTCTCCGACTTTAGGGACATGCCGCGCGGTTTCAGAAGCTCAGTCGGCAACGTTTCGGATCGGAAATTGGATGGTCGTGCGTTGGAGGCCGGACCGGTTCAGGCGTCTCATATCATCCGTCTGTGGAACATGCTGAATTTATGCTGATAGGGGATGCGTGCTATCAGTATTATACAGCATGCAACTCCTTGAGAGCTTGTTACAAAAATTATGAACATAATCTTTATGTAAATTTTAAAAGCATTCGTCATTATAGCATCTGCCCAAAGCTGCCTTCAGGCACAGGCTGCCAAAAGTTTTGTGTAACATTGAATTCTAACGCACAAATGCATATTTAGTGGAATACTAGCACTTTACTGCAATGTATGCTCCAGACTTCCTTCTAGCCCTGCATCTTTTTCCCTGGTGGTATGCAGCAAGTGTCCAGCAGCCACGCGCCTCGTCAAAAAGTTATGCGTGCCAGAATCGAACCCACGCCGCTGCGTCTCTGTTCGCAGCTGGCGGCCTGATCAGTGAGGCGCAGTTCATCACCTGGTTTCTCAAGATGCAGACCTTGTCGGCCGACAAGACGCCAGACATGACCAACGACCTCTTCGCAGCGTTCCGCCTCTTCGATAAAGACGGCAACGGCTACATCACCATGGTGGGTGTAGCGACGGACGGCGCTGTGCCGCTGCTGGAACGTGGATGAGACACGCCGGATGATCTTGCCATATTGGACTAATTGGTCCCGAGTGTTTGTAGCAAAGGCTCATAGGTGGAAGTGATTCGTGTAATGCAAGTGGTGATAATGGTCACATAATACGTAAACGATCAATTAGAACCGCTTGCAAAGGTGTTATACCGACAACCCAAATTAATGTTTTAGCCACACACATCAAACGAAATGTGTTTGTCTACTTAGCTTTTAGAATTTGGCCGGTAAATAGCTGAAGGTCGAATGTCAGGCCCCGCCAAAAGTCTCAAACTTTTCCTAATACGTAGCTCCAAAAGTTTCCCATGCCCTCCTCCCCATCCGCCTGCTCCTCGGGCCTTTCCCTGCCAACTTCGCAGCGCCAACTTGAGCACATAAGACTGTCGATGAGCCAGTCATTGATCTGAACTCTGCTGAGCCTCAACAATGCATCCAGCATTTTTTCGTTTGTATTACCACGCTAGTGCAATGTTCCAGACTACGCTGGCCGGCTTTTCACAACACATTCTCTTCAGATTGGTTTGCTGGCCTCTCAGCCTGATGCGGGTCCCGCTGAGTGAGACGTTGTCGGGTGACCCGTGTGACCGGGGTGACCCCGCGTGGGACGACGCGTCATCTGACCGCGCGGCATCTAAACCCGGGACATTTCAGCCCGTTCGCCGTCCTAACTCATTTCATCTGACCATCCACCATCTGATCCGGTGTCAGCTGACTTAGTGTCATCTGACCCCACTTCATCTGACCCCGTGTCATTTCACTCGCGTCATCCGCCCGTGTCACATGACCCCGCGTGCCGCTGCAGGACGAGCTGCGGCGGGCTATGGAGCTGATAGAGGAGCGGATGACGGAATCGGAGTTGAGTTCGCTTATTGAGATGGCCGACGCCGACAAGGACGGCAGAATTAATTACGAAGGTGAGACTGGGACGCGGAGCTCCTCGCTGGCTGGATTATACCCGATCGTGAGGAATACACGTGATGGGCTAGGGTGAGTCTGATTTTTTCAATTTGGACTGACGCTATATCAGTTGTGAAACTGACCAGCCTAAACGGACTGAAAAAACCGGAAGACTTGAGAGTCAATATGCACTGAAAAACCGTCACAAAAACCTCCTTTGCTCGGTCGTCCAGATCGCATCCCTGCGCGGTGTCGTTTTAGGGAGCGGTGTAGACACCTTTTAAGGAGCAATCAAGGAGTTTTTTTGATACCGAAAATTACGCCAAAAAAATTCCACTGCGGAGCGGGGCAAATCGCATCCCTGCACAGCGTCGTTTTAGGGAATGGTGTCATATCCCTTTTGCAGGAGTCTCTTCAAACTATGATGGATATCCATTTGATCTGCTGATGATACGCCGCGATTAAAATACTCCATAAATGGAGTCGCGTTTGCTCACCTCGCATTCCTCTAAATGCAGGCTGGACAAAGGGAATGCAAACTGTACAGGTGTGACGGTCAACCGACCGTGACGATGTGACGGTCAACCGGCCGTGACGGTGTGACGGTCAACCGGCCGTGACGGCGTGACGGTCAACCGACCGTGACGGTGTGACGGTCAACCGGCCGTGACGGTGTTACGGTCAACCGACCGTGACGGTGTGACGGTCAACCGACCGTGACGGTGTGACGGTCAACCGACCTTGACGGTGTGACGGCTAACCGACCTTGACGGTGTGACGGCTAACCGACCGTGACGGTGTGACGGTCAACCGGCCGTGACGGTGTGACGGTCAACCGACCGTGGCGGTGTGACGGTCAACCGGCCGTGACGGTGTGACGGTCAACCGACCGTGACGGTGTGACGGTCAGCCGACCTTGACGGTGTGACGGCCAACCGACCGTGACGGTGTGACGGTCAACCGGCCGTGACGGTGTGACGGTCAACCGACCGTGACGGTGTGACGGTCAACCGATCGTCACACCTGTACAACTTGCATTCCTTCGATCAGACATACATGCAATGTGGACAAATCAGGGTTTCTTTTGACATTTAAAGCATCCAAACTGAGAAATTAGTCACAGGCTAACCCAGCTGTCCAGCATCAGTTAACAAAACGCATGCATCAGACGGTCTAACTACAAGTCAAGTCAGGTTCTACGCTTGAAATTACTGGCTTCAAACTTGAGCAGACGACAAATGGTCCCGCTGACCTCATCACACTGCCCGGCATCAGCAAACCGATCACGTCGACTACAGGGCCAGCCAGTCTTTCCCCCAGCTGGAAACTTGGCAAGCGTAGCATCTCGACAAAGACTGACGACACTGAAATTTCGACAAAAAATGGATCGCAGCGACCTGGTCATATGGAACATCCGAAATGCGAAATAAGCCGGCAGTTAATCAGAATGGCACCAAACTTCGACAGACCACAAGACATTGAACACTTTAAATGAATAAACAAGAACTGACCCGGGTCGACAAGTTCGGACCCTCAAGAAAAATACCAGTGTCGTACCGGGGGCCGGCGACAGCGTCAATCCAGATCCATTACCCGCATTCCTAGCACGGGTAAGTCCACCTGCTATAGCAGCTGCTTCGTCCACTAAACGAGCCTTTTCATCAGTTCCTGGGCTCTCTTCGGTACTCTTGGAGACTGATGGATCCCACATAGGGCTCGTTCAATGAATATCAGCACCGACTGTGCCGACTTGCACTCGACTTGCTGAGCAATTTTTACGAAGAGGGTCTGGGACAGAACAAACAGAAGGGACACCTCTTCCTCGTCTCGCACAGCGCACACCAGCATTGCTCTTTATAGCAAGAGAACACTGCGGGTCATCCAAGCAAAGGCACGGCCGAGATGCATCTCTGTCCTCCAGCACGATGTCGCTCCACGCGCTGTCCAAGCACCCCTCGAACGCTTCCCGTGATCGTTCTGAAACACATCAGATATCTGGAGTTCCGATCACACCGTGGGGATATCGGGTTATGATTAGACATCGATTACGGCCACTGTGACCCTTCCAAAACAGGTCATTCTTACGTCACTGCAAAAGGAAATGTTCCGCATTTGAAGATCGAAACAAGTACCAGATACAATACAATGAGCTCATCTAGAACTCTTGGTACGCTTGTAGGTGGAAAAGGCTGCCCTAGACAAAGCAATTCCTCTGTTAAGTACATCTGCTCGTCAATAAGTCATTGTTTAATTACGTCATCGCACCGTTCACGACATTGAATGAGAGCCGATTGACGGTAGATATATCTGGAAATCGTGCTCACGAACGTTAGATATGAACGACTCGACAATTATATTTTCTTTGGCCTTGATCTCCGCATGGATAATGGATTTGCAAGATTTGAAGAACGTCATTATGGCGTTATGGATGCCTGTGTGACCTTGAAACAGTCTGCACATCTTCGTGGGCGTGTCGCTCAGAAACTATAGGGGCTTAGGTATTGACAGCGGCAAGGCTGTAAAAAACATTTCATTATCTTCAACATGGTTATTTCGGTTTAAGACCCCATCGAAATTTGGAACACACCCTCTAAAAGCATTGCTACATATTTCTGTGTTTTTTTTTTAACTAGCATAGCCATCTTGAAGATCATTCGGTGCAGTTCACAGCCCTGCCGTTCCTAAGATCTAAACCCATTTAGTTTTTGAGCCACGCGCCCGTTAAGATGGGGGGACTATTTCGGTGAGAGTATTTCAAGGTCACCTTGGCATTCATGGCGTCATGGTAGCACAATTCAAATCCCGTCACTTTGTAAGCCATGCACTGATCAATGCCAATAAAAATAGAATGGTGCAGTTGTTCGTAGCTGGCGTTCGTGAGTCGATTTCCAGACATAACGACTGTTAAATGGCTCTCAATCAATGTTATGCAAGGCACGGTGACATAGTGAGCCGCATATTTACTAAACAGAGAGATTGCGTTGTCTTGAGCGGGTTTTTTTCTGCGTAAAAGTATACCAATGGTTAAAAATGAGCTTGTTTCATCAAATATGATGCCTGCTCCAATATCTTCAATTTAAGTTCCAAGCTGGTTTTCTCCGAAGAACAAGACTATTACTTCTGTCCTATTTATGACAATAATGTTCCTCGCAAATGCGCTGAACACCTAACGAGGACCAGCCTGATCGTAAATGACACGCACAGGCGTCATAGCTATGCAGAGGTCGTGAAGTTCCCTGGATTAAACACGCGCACGGGTGGCCGGTTGGATACCCTTGGTTCGGGGGAGGAGCAATTTGACCCCCTGAAATCTCAAAAACACTAAGAGAACTAGAAGCACCAAATTGCAGGATGCGTTTGCATTTATGTGATCTCACTTGGACCAAAGTGTAAGGTTCCGAGGTCATGAGCTCGGTTCAGATAAGGTCAAGCAATGCCAAACGTTGTTGGTTGGTTGGTATAAAAGTGCTCCAAAACCTGGATACTTGTTCTAAGCCAAAGGCTACATGCTCATTTAAGGTCAGTGGCCTTGTTTGACCTTTCGAAGGTCATGGTGACCAAAAGCATGCAAGAATGCTTTGGGTTTTGCATTTGAATAAGCAATAAAGATTACGCTAGGCAGTATGTCCCTAAAAACAAAGTGATGACCTGGGTCACTTTAGGTCAGCGGCCTGCTCAGACCTTTAAGAAGTCCATGGAGCATGTATAACGCGCTTCCTGCTATTAATAAATTCGAAATGAGCGCCAGAATTTCCTCATACAGGAAGCTCTAGAGTAGCAAAACAAGTTGATTTTGGCGTAGATACGACCTACATACCTGACCCTAGATCAATTTGTTTTCTCAATTAGTGTGTTGCCTAAGAAAGCATCTCAGAGATGAATGGCTACGTCTAGCACACCGTTGTTGCACTAGATTGAAAGACTTCTTAGAAATTGATTTGCTGAATCCATGGCCTGAATTTGACCTGCTGTAGGTCAGTGACCTTACAAGGTACATATAAATGTGTGGTACGGATAGATCTGCTATTCAGTTGTCTAAAGCTGCGCAGACTTTGGAGTGGCTACGCTGCGCCGTTCGAAAACTATCTCCCAAAAAATATCTAGGGGGTCAAATTGAGCGCCACCCAAGCGCGTGTTAAGCTGAAAATGTCCCGCGCAATGAACAAAAGTTTGTTTAGCTTAATTGCTTCAGAGCTTCCAGACAACTCGTTTATTTTAACTTGCATTTCTTACAGTCGTCTTTTCCCTTATACATACCAGTGGGGAAGGCTACAAGGGAAGTGGGAGGCGGGTGGGAAGGCTAATATTGATGTAGTCCTTATCCCTTTTGGCTTTCACCTCTGTGATATTTTACATTTCACTTTTATCTTTTGACTTTTTACATTTGACTGTTATCTTTTGATCTTTTAGTATTTGACTTTTTGCCATTTGGTTTGGTGTTCTAATGGCTTTTTGTCGTTTGACTTCTATCCATTTGACTTTAATCCCACTTTATGTGTCCCTATTTGATCTTCTGCGTTTGACTTATATCTTTTTAGCCTTTTGCCACTTGACTTCTATCCTGTTTGGCATTTTACCAGTTGGCCTAATCCTTTTACCCGCTACAATCTTCCACTGATCGCACCATGGTACGTTTGTATTACGTTGAGGTGCTGCCAAACTAGCCGTCGTTGCACTTATTTGAAGTAAATCAAACCCGCATAGAACCTGTAGCACGGTGTTGAAGGTGTTCGCTGGGCCAAATATCGTAAATTACTCGTGTTTTAGTTTTTTGACATGGTGTTATTTCATATCCATCCGCCACTTTAAAAACTCTTCCGGCATTCACATACTCGGTTATGGAACTTCATGGAAAAGAATATTTCACATTTGACGCTATTTCAAGACTAGTCTAAGACCAATCAAGAAACTAGACTAAATTAAGGTCAATTAATCTCAAAGCCTATGTGTCCGGGCAGCAAAAGATGTCATTTATGCAAGCCCGGGCTTCGAGGGGTTTGCACGGAAAAACGTGGTT